AGCTTCCCACAGTAGCGCCTATGCGGTCTGCCCCCAAGAGCAATAGCTCTGAAGAGTTTGCGCAGCCACCCGTCCGGCTCCAACGAGCTCTAGACATTGGCACCCATAGCGGTCTGCCCCCAAGGGCAAGAAGCTCTCGCGAGCTCGCGCAGCCATCCTTCAGGCTCCCAATAGCTCTCTACAGTAGCACCCATAGCGGTCTGCCCCCAAGGGCAATGAGCTCCCGAGAGCTCGCACAGTAACCCGTCATGCTTCCTGGAGGTCGCGACAGAAAACTATCGTAGCTGCTAGCCCCCAGGGCAAGAAGCTCCAAATAGCTCGCCCGGCCACCGGTCAGGCTCCCAAGAACTCTCGACAACAGTGGCCTTGGCGGTCTGCACCAAGGGCAGCAGTACCCAATAGCTCGCGCAGCTCCCTTCGTCAGGCTCCCAGGAGCTCTCGACATCAGCGCCCAAAACGGTATGTCCCAGGGCAAGAGCACCCAAAAGCTCGCACAGCCACCTGACATGCCCCCAGAGCTCTCGACAGTAGAGTCACTAACGGTGTGCCCCCAAGGGCTATAAGCTCCCAAGAGCTCGCACCGCCAACTATGATCTCCCAAGAGCTCGCGCGGCCACCCGTCATGCTCCCAAGAGCTCTGGACAGTAGCGCACATGCAGCCTGCCCTCGCACCGTCAACTATGATCTTCCAAGAGCTCGCAAGCCCCCGTCATTCTCCCCCAGCCTCCCGACAGTAGCACCCACGCGGTCTGCCCCCAAGGGCAACAAGCTCCCCAGAGCTTGCACAGCCCCAACGCCCGTACCGGTCAGATGACCGTATAGGTCGCCAGCAGATACAGATAGTCGGACGGGTCGCTCTGGCGCGTCCACACATCCGGAGCTCACACCCGCCGCGGCCCGCGGCCCGGTTGTGAAACGAAAGATTTGCTGGCACGCAGCCCGCCGAAAAAGGCAGCGCGTTACGCCCTCCTCGTCGATCCAGTGTCGGTCCCCGCAACGCCGCGACACGTGCGAACCGTCGCACACTGCCCGCAGATGGCCGAGCCGTTCGCGCCTACCCCCCTGCGAGTGACGAGGGAGGGGGTGGCGAGCGCCCCTGTGTGTGCCGCCCCGCCACTCGAGCCGGCCAAGCGCCCGCCCTGTCACCGCGCCCTCCCCCTCCCCCACCAGGGATGGGGGCGCGCAGCTGGGTGGACGCCGCACTGTAGGCCGGCAGCCTGAAAAAGCGCTAGAAATTCCCCCAAACTGACTGTCCGCAATATGAACAAAATAGGTATCATTTAATCCCAAATTGATCGAAGAATACGATTCCGATGCTAGTTTTGCCCTAAGGTCAAAATTGAGGTCGTCAGTTGTCACCAAACACAAGACAATTTAGACTCTCTATAGGCCACCACATTTACCGATTTTAATGATGAACTTTAGTGGTAATTTATTAGTTGACCAATCGTCGTTTTGAACGAAATTTCCTGTCAGACTAGTTCAGGGCACTGTTGTTCACTGTGCCAATATCATTCTGACATATTGCATCGCTTTTCTGCAAGATAAGCTAGCTGTTTGCAAGCAGCTGCAAGACGTAATTTAAAATCATATCCAATTTTTTAATTAGACTTTTATAAAAACGTTATTTCGAGCGGCTAAAAATGAACATTTCATACTAGCCTCTGATTACTCATCTTTTGTTCCATATAGGTGCTTTGCTGCTTTTCCCTGCTACTTTTCGATATATGCGCCAGTAAACCACATGATGTAGGGGCAATTGTCACCTCCCCGCTTTACTGAAGGCCCGGCGCTCTTTAAAACGCTGGAAGTTGTGAAAAACAAACGCTTATAATCTAAATGAAATATATGCCCCTGAGCTCAGAATTGATCAACGCACACAATGCTGCCAACATTTCTGGGCCAAACTCAAAAATTCAGTCATTATTAACCCCTAAACACAAGTCAGTGATAATCAACAACAACTTGCTCTTTAGTTAGACTTTTTGAGAAATGTTATTTCGAGCCGTTAAAAATGGTCATGCCATACAAACCACCAATCATCTTTCTGTCATGCCCTACTCGCAATTTTTGCTAATGCCTGCTACTCTTCGAGGTCACGTGACCTCACCATTAAAAGTGAATGGAGAAATAAGGAAACTGTTGTTTTTGCGCATGGAATGATTTCAAACTATCTCAAGCACACGGAATCGTGATTTCGTGCACTCCTTGCAAGATCCGATGCTTTACTTTTGCATTTTTGACCTTCCGTGACGTCATTCATGACGTCACACCGGTCATAGGAGTTTCTCGTCAATAACTCATGATCAAATTGAGCCAGCGACTCGGGAAAGCCACCAATGGACTCGGGAAGACCTCCCGAATCGAATGATATGCGATACGACCTTCTTCGATTAAGTTCGTGGCCTGATGGGCTCTGAACTGACCTTGACTCGAGATCAATACCTTAAGTTGACCTCACCCGAACAAAAAGTATACCATTCGACGCGCCTGAGCCAGGCGAACACGATGGTGCCAAAATCGCTGCTCTGCGGCCATTTTTTGCGAAATTATTTGCCAAAAACCAAACCCTGCCTTGGGCTTTTTGACTTCACCTCAGAGGTTACCGGTTGACCTGGGACCTTAAATTCGGGTATCAATCGTTCCGCCTTGAAACGGCGCACACGCTTGTTTTTTTCCGCAAGGCTCTAGCTCCATTAGGGGCGAAACGGCAAAAAGGGGTCGTACCAACCCTCCCCCCTCGGCCGGCCGAGGGGGTGGGGGGTCCGACAATAGGTCCGGCGAGGGGTAAGCAGCCCCACTTCGTTTTTAGCATGTTTGCTTGTCACTGAGATCAACAACTCAATCACAAATAATTTCTAGCACTTTTCCGGACCCCCGGCCCAGTGTGCGCCGCCCCGCGGCGCATCCTCCAATCCAGTAATTAGACCGGGACCCGCGCGTTGGCCGCGCGGTGGACCTTCGGCCCATATCGCGCGCCCCTCCCCGCGCCGGGCGGTCGCGGCGCAGCGGGCGCGGACACGCGGCGGACAGAGAGAACAGGGCGAACAGCAAACATCGGGTAAGATAACCGGACCTCTTACTCCCGCCCAAGGCGAAAAGCACACAGATCTATCCCGCGCTCCCCTCGTGCCTCCCGCCCCAGCCCGCCCGCTCCGCTTATCTCTCTCCCTCCCACCCTCCCTCCCTCTCCCTCGCTCTCTCCGGCATCTGTCTGCCCTCGCCCAACGCCTCTTAGCCGGGGGGCCGCTAAGTTGCCACTAACTAAACCACCTGGCACATCTGGTCAGCACGTCGCGGCATGGTTATTCCACCAGCACATATTATCCAATAATCCTCTGGTCAGCTCACGAGCGGCTAGTTTCAGCACCGAGCGTCGTGACACGGCTAACCCATATCCGCCGCCTGCTCCTGACCAGACCCAATGGCCCCGATCCGTGACCACGGTCCAGCCCTGGAGGACCAAGTAGGCCGCCTGAGAGCCGCGAAACGGGGACCGCCGCCGGACATGGCACAGCGGGCGCCCGGCGAAAATGGGTTCAGCCGCCAGAGCGGCAGATAGCGGGCGAGGGGTCAGTTTCTAATGACTTTGTGGGGCGACACAGATAGTATCGGCCGCCCCGTCAGAACAGGCAGACACAAAGGCGGCGATACAGTTTGGTGGCCGCGGGCGGCGGGCCGGGAAAGTCTGCCGCTCCCGGTGGATATTTGGAGATCGGTCCTCGGCGCGGCGCGCGCTAGGTTTCACTCGCGTCGTCCCTTTCTCCCACTGTCTCCATGGACGAGTGCCTCGAACTGGGTCGACAGTTTGGGGCTGAGGAAAACGCGCTCTGTCGAGGATAGCACAGTGAGCGCGAGACTGGATGATCCCAGTGAGAGTAACGAGTAATTTTTTCTACAAGCCCTGGTGAAACAGAGCGATGAAGTTTATTATCGATGCACCATGAATGCATTAAAGGTGAAAACTGTGGCATTTCATCTGTTGCATGAACTGAATCGAAATACTTCAGTATCAGCACCACAGATCACAGGTTGCCAGATAAAGTTGGCTAACCTACATATAAATCACAGTCATCGTCGAAGCATCATGAAAAAGATGTTTGTAGTCAGCAACATGAGGCAAGTACCAAACATCCCATTTGAATAAGGTTCGCGAAGTTGAAAGACAACCGGCCGTTAATTCAGGCCCGGCGCTCGGTTAGCAAAATATTTATCGCGATTCAGCGTAAAATGTCTAGAACAGCGCAGAATCTAACCAATAGATGTCTACCAAGGAAACCCACCGGAGGAGAGCCAGATAGATGATTCCGAAATGAATACACTCGGTTTGACGGAGAAACGAAAGAAACATATATGTTCGCGTTTTCCAACCACCGTTACAGCTTTCATCTCGAGAGACTCGAAATATTTCAAGGGAACACCAGGAAAACAAGGCATTTCCGGGGAGGCGTTCAGCCGATAGCCATTCATTTATCTGCGGTGTGCCCGTCTCCGAGGAGGCGTGACCGAGACCCATCAGTCGTCCTGGCAGCAGCAGTTTATCTGCCAGTACTTGGAATCGTGATCGCACTTACTCTAACACGGCTGTTTAAATGCGATAATGGCGAAAATATCGTTCACTATTATCCTAACTTTATGAAAGTTTTATGCAACCATTTCTTTTGTTCTTGTTTTGGTCTTACGGTATGTTTGATAAAGGCAGTGTAATCATCACAAATGGTGAACTAGCATAACTGAATTGTTGCTGTGAGTAAGAAAACCTTCACCAGCTCTATTCTATGCCACAATAACAACACAAAGATGACATTTCGGAAGGGGAACAATGTACGAAGTCAAACAACAGGGTACAACGGCAGACGCATTCGACGACGGGACCCACATAGTGACTGCTCAAGCAGTGGTGAGCGAAAACAGTCCTGCACGACTTCTCTCTCCCTTTAAACCCAGCATCGTGTCCCTAAATCCACCCCTGCCGTCCCATCCCGTCCCTGTGCACTGACCTGTCGACGGCTCCTCCTCCTCTCCTGGCGGAGGTGCGGGGCTGGGCACTGTCGAGGTGACCTGGTCACAGCGCTCAGCGGCCGGCGGCGGACCGAGCAGCGCCGCACGCAGCACGGGGTCCAGCCAGGGCGCCGGGCCAGACACCAGCAGCTCCACCACGGTCATCGCGAGGCTGGAGCGGTGGCTGGAGGCGAAGCTAGAGCGGTAGCTGGAGACGTAGCAGCAGCTGTCGCGGAGACTATGGGCAGACTGGGCCACTGACGATTCGCACAGATGGTTTTTCACAGGTCTTGTGTAGAGCGTAGAACTTGTGTAGAACGTTTGTGTAGAGCGACGTAGAAGCTCGCTTGACTCGGTGACTTGGCTCTTCTCACTCAGCCGGACACAGGAATATCGAAATAATCTGGACTAGTTCGTAGGATAAGCTCTCAACTAGTGGCAGTATCAACAGTCCACACAGTCAACAAACGCACTAAACACTGTCGCGTCCTTACTTGGCCTCAGCCAGTTCCGTCTGAGTTACAACACAGGTAAACACACCAGTCCGTCTTCACGCAACAGCACAGGTCCTGTGGTTTTTCAGTCTCTTCTCCCTTCACAGCACCAGTCCTCGTCCAGTCCTCAGTCCTCGGTCTGTTTCCAGTCCTCAGTCCGTTCTCAGTCAGCGCCCGCCCAGTCCGACACTCAGCCACGGAGGCAGTGGAGAGCCGAGACCCGGCAGCGACGCGCACCCGGTTCGGTGTGGCCCTCCGTCCGTCGCCGAGTCGCCGCCCCGCCCGGCTCTGGAAAGCCGGCGGCGCCAGTCCGGTGACCTACTGAGCCACGGGCCAGGTCACGCACCCGAGACCAACCACACTTTTACCCGCGCCGCGCCGAGCGAAGAGCGGCGACGCGCCGACCGGCCACGCGCTTTCGCTTTCCCCGCCTTGGAGACGCGCTGGGCGGGAGGGGGCGGGGTGGGCTGGAGCGTCGCAGTGTGGTAAACGCAGCGGAAGGGGAGCATGACACCAGCTGTGGGGTGGGGAAAGGGAGGGAGGTGAAAGAGATAACGAACGCAGCGCACAGTGGCGAAGGAGGACGGCCAAAAGAAGTGGAGCAATTTCCATTTCCATGATAAACTTTTAGCCGATAACTTAAAACGTGAAAAACATCCCACTTTAACCCGCGCCCTGGTGGGGTCTGTTTATAACGCGACCTGGTGGGGGGGGGGCTATTTTTTGCCCCCCCCCCTCGTATCTCCGCAACTACTGGACGGATCCGCAAAATTCAAACGGCGTTCGAAAGGCCTGTCAAATTTGTCTAGGGAAACCAAATTTCATCGACCTCGGGGTCACCGATGACGTCACAGGTCAGGTCAAAGATGAAATGTTTCACCGTTCACGGGTCTTCTAGGGAATGCGCTATAACACCGAGGAAAACGCATTTTGTCGAGAATGAGCGATAGGGCGTCAGTTGCCTAATAGATATGTTGCTATTAGAGGTCACTGACAATACCAGGTCACGTCACAGGTCAGGTCACCAAGGGTCACAGGTCAGGTCACATGAGCCCAACTTTACTAAGGTTGTGTGATGCATGTTTTATGGCCAATTTTTCATTTCCAACTCAATGGTGTTGGTTATAAGACTATCAGGTACGGCTTAGGTCACTTTCTGGTGAAGTTCAGGTCAAGGTCAGGTCAAGGTCAGGCCAAAAAAGGTCAAATTTTAAAGTTGATAGTTTTGCATAAAATGGGTATTGATTCGATGCAGCTCGTCACGGGGAGTCTAATGGTGGTCTTTGTTTTGCGCTACGGGGTCTAGAATTGCTAAAAATTGAGTTTGAAAATTTGACGTCATCAATTTTGAACAGTTTTTTCGCTATAACTTCGCCAAAAACAGAGGTATCAATCTCAAATTTGATATGTGGATGGAAGGCGGTAAGTACTATCACATATATTCCGGTTTTTGCGAAATTCAAAAAACTTTTTGGATTTTTTGGCTATTATATTCAAAAAATCTATTTTTTGATTTTTGGGGGTCAAAATCCAAAAAATTCGAAAAACTGAAATAGCAGTTTTGTAGTTCATTTGATTCCACACCTTTTATGTTTAAAACATTTTTCTGCATCTCTAAAGCTGTAGGCCTGACAGCTCTTCCCGCGAAACCTTTTTTTGGGTCGAAAACGGCAGAACATGACGTCACTCTGACGTCATTTCCGGCTAACCTATCATAGCCTTTGGAAAAATTTTTGGTCACGATGTGTAAAATTGATGTCCGGGAGGGTACTGAAAGTTTGGTGATGATCGGCGCAGCGGTTCTGGAGATATATCGAAAAGTCTGGAGGGGGGGCAAAAAATAGCCCCCCCCCCCACCAGGTCGCGGGTTAAGTCTGTGATTCCTTGACAAATAAATCATCACAGGCGCCGGACCGATCCTAGGGAGGGTAACCATCGATGGGTGGACCGGTTGTTGGTTGGCCATTCGCCCACCCTCTGAGGCCACCCTCGTCTCCGCCGGCCGCGCAGAGCTCTGCGTTTATTCGCCTCCCAATGGCCGCTGGACCGGCTCCGGTCGGTCGGTCGGCTGGCGGCGCACACGAGGTCACGGCTCGGGTCGATAGGGTCCTTGGCCCCGGCACCGCTGATATACGGTGGACCCGGGTGGTCCTGGCAGCGACTGCCGGGGCCGGCCGGGCTGGGGGGACAGGGGGCCTTGGCGTGCCTGCGGGGGTCGCCGCCGGGCCAGGAGGGGGGAGGGGGGCTGAGGTCATGGCACGCGGTGCCACGGCAGGTGCCCGGAGGTGTCCACCTGGCACTGAAACGGCGGCTGACCTTTCACACTCGTGTCATCCGTGGCACGCTTACATGAAATTCAAAGGCCGACTTCTGACAGGAAGCTTGAAATGTAAAAGAAATATCCAGGCCACTCAAGAAATCAGGATGAACCTTCATCCGAAGGTAAGATTTATCAGCGATGTGAATAAAAAACGTTTTATTTTCAAAAAATCACAAGACACTGCTGCATAGCTAAGGATTTTATACTTCCATTGTGACTTGTGAGTTACTAGTACCGAGCAAACTTTTTTTTAGAAAGCAAGCAAATAGAGTATGAACTTAATGCAATTATTAACCCAGGTCCCGTTGAGGTCTGGCAGGTTCCTTGTCCTGTTGGGGGGGGGGGGGGGGGCTCCCCGTCGTATCTCCGGAAACAATAGGCGGATCGGAAAAATTCAAACAGCATTCGAAAGAGCTCATCAAGATGCACAAACACAATATCGATGACCTCGATATTTGACCTGTGACGTCACAGAGAGATCAAACAAGGTCAAATCAGTTCAATTTACAACGACTAGAAATCGCTTATAAAAATAAATCTAGGCTTCGAAAATGAGTCTGGATATGATGTATATGATCTATATGACATGTGGATAGTCATCTGAATGGATGATGACCTGTGACGTCACAAGAGAGGTCAGTTTCGACCAATCAAAAGACACTTGCGTGAATCGTAGGGAAAACGGCATGCTGAATTGAAATATTCGAGTCTTTATCAAGACATGTCATATATATGCAGCCACAGAAACCCCCTTGAGCATTTTTCTTGGAACTATGACGTCACAGAAAGGTAAGAAAAGGTCCAATTATAGGGTTTATAATGGAAAACATTATATTGCGTAAAAGTGACTTTATCTTATATTCAGTCAGGAAAAGTTGGATAAGTATCATACCTACATATTACAATTGGCTACAATGGCACAAGTACTGAAAATAATGTGACGTCATAAGAGCAGCCGCTATTTTAAGTCATTCAAATGGCTGTATCTCTGCCAGTTTAAATATGTTGTTGATTTTTGGCAAGTGTAAGGCCAACAACGGGTTCTCTGACATATATTCCGTTTTTTACTTCCTAAATTTCACAAATATCTCAAGAAATCTGAATTGAGATATAAAATCTATATATCTTGATAATTTAATATTCGGGAAATTTCGAGATGGGCATTTTGTTCGCCATCCTTTTTTGTATCTATGGTTCAATTGTTGAATCTCTAGGTTCAAAGTCTGATTTCCTGCGATTTTTCTCCGTGAACAACCTTTTGACGAAAAATGGCCGAACATGACCTCAGTTTGACCTCTACATATAACCCGCTACCTGAGATGACCTGGGACCATCTTTTCAGTAAATGTGTAGAATTGATGTCCGGAGAGGTACTGAAAGTTTCAAGTTAAAATTCGCAGCCGTTTCTGAGTTATCTGCGAAAACCTCAAGAGAGGAACCTTTACCCCCCCCCCCCCCCCCCAACGGGTCGCGGGTTAATTTACCAACTAAACTACATGGAAGCACATATATTCAACTGCAACTGCATGGCAAATTATTTCAAAACAAAACCTTGAACAAGAAAACGTGCAAAACGACGCAATATGCTCAAGAAGTGTAACACGCTCACGTATTCACAAACATTAGTAGGTTGTCTAATCAAACCATAACAGGAAAATTAGCAATTCAAGCTTCGTGACCACCTTAAAGGAGCATGAATCACGTCCATGTCATCCCATGGTCACCAATGTGTTTACATACACCAGCGTTCTGGATTTATTTCGCAATGTCCCGTCCTCGGGTCGACCAATCTCGAACGTGTGCATCAGCCTGTCCTGACTTCGTCCTGTGTGCATCCCTCCTCTGCACTCGCTGCGGTCTGCTGTGCAGAGCCCTGCCCCTGATGACCTGATGTCATCATTGCGAGAGCGGAGAGGCTCACCCCCATTTGACCGACCTCGACTCACGTCTTCGAACCACGGGAGGCCGGTCAGTGGCGATTCTACTGCGAACGGAGAACCTGTGACGGCCTGACCAGAGGCAACGGCTCGCTGGTGTAGCAAGGCAAGGGGTAGATGATTCACATAATAAAAAACGACTTCTTATGCTAAAGTAATAAATCAACAACAGTTTAAGCGGATGGCGGTGGATATGGTGATGTAATGTGATGATAATAAATGCATGGCGCATGCCCTTGAAAAAGGCGATGTAGGTGCATTACCGAAGTCATAGAGTCACCGAGATCCGAAGTCACCAACTTTAAAGGGACACTCCCATCTTAACATTAGTTTTGAGTTGAGATAGCCAAATTGGTGGCCATGGCCTGCAAATACCGGTTTGGGCACTCACAACATCGAAAAATGCTTTAATTCGAAGATATGGAATTTCAAACTTGCAGTTTTCGGATTCTAAGGGGCTAATGCATTGGAATGCCCCCTTAGAATTTGTGACGTCAGCGGAGATTTAACGATTTTTAAATCTTAAGGCCTGGCTACACTATGCGTTTTCTGCGTGCGTTTTTGCAGGTTTGCGTGTTTTGCGTAATACCGTTCTAGGAAAAAAGTTATAAACAATATAATTTTTACTTTGGTTATATACAAAAGCTAATATAACTCTTATGTAACTAAAATTTAAGGTGAAAAACATCACAAAACGTAATATCGTTCTTTTTTTCTAGAACGATATCACGCAAAACACGCAAACACGCAAAAAACGCACGAAGAAAACGCATAGTGTAGCCAGGCCTTTAGACTAAAACCATCGTTAACACGTGGTGGTATACGCTGCTTTGCGCGCAACGTCTGCCGCACTTTAAGGCTGCCAAATTATTGCTTCCAAATAAAGTCGCTAGTAACAGGGGAGATCACAAAAAGTAAACAAAAGTAAAAGCCTAATGTCTTGAAAACCAGTGAATATTTTTCGGTGAAATTTGGTAGATATTCGTTTTCGCTCTTTCTGAACCAAGGGACATCACTTTCATGCCAATTCATTAACTTTTTTGA